AAAATGATTTAAAGTTGAAAAAATAACACATAGCCGGAAAAAAAAACGCATTGCCGCTAGCATATATTTTTTTAAAATGAAATCGATATTAAAAATATTTTGAAAATAGATTTCGTATTTAAAACTCTTTGAACAATATTTATTTTTTTAAGAATACTACGGCTACTGCCGAAGTATTCTGCTTCAGCGCTTTAAGCTCTAAGACCGTTTCCTGATTCGTTTTACTTTGGAGGCTAAACAGATTTTTTAACTAGGACACCCTATTTTGGTTTGTTGCATAAATGTGCAACTAGTTGTTGTTAAACTGCTCGATTTGAGCCGATTTTTAGAAATGATTCTCATTATTTAAGCCAGAAAAATTTTGCCTAATACCTCAAGATTTCGCGAAATATATGTTCAAACCTTTATGCCATTTAGCAACCAAAGTCTTCAGGCTTGCTTAATATATTTCCACCAATAACGCCTTACCGTTTACTTAAATCTAAAAGATCTCTTTCTTTTTAGTCCGTTTAGAGGAAGCTATGCCGGTTAAACATAACACAAAAAACCAGGATACGACCTAAGTATTCCCCTCCCCCCTAAATCTATTGACTTAAACGTTAAAAAGTTTGCTATTACTCATTTGTGAATAAAGGATTGGACAGAGGCATATCTCAAAATTAGCAAAATTTGTGTCATTCACGACGAGTCCTCCCAGCCCCGGTATCAAATTTGGCTTGGTCTTACCCGCAGGGATGTGAACCCTTCGACAAAGAAAAGGGTCCGGGTTCGGGTCCGGGTTCAGAGGAAACATAAAAATAATGACTCAAAATAAGACTTTTTTTCATTCATTTTTTATTACACTTCAATATATACACATTTATAATTCGAAATGAGATAATTTATATTTTGAATATTTTATTCAATCGCACAATCATGATATCTTCTAAAATATTATCCTTCAGATTTCCACGTAAATTAGACAAAATATATTTCAACGATGAAAATCCACGTTCTACGCTTACCTAAAATAGATAGTCATTTTTATAATACATAAATTATTGTACTTGTGTCGCCGGTACAGCCATGACGATTCTAGACAAGGTATATAATTCTGGATATATTGAAGAATTTTCCTCCCAGAATTTTAAAATGTTTGCATCTCTATTTATTCTAACTTCCGAGAACTTTTCTATTAAAGATACAATAGATATTTTTTGCTCCTTTCTATCAGATGATAATTTAATTTTTTTTCTCTATCTAATAGTAAAATTTCCAGATCATCAATATCGTTATCATTATCATTGTTATCGTTAAAACCAGTAGATATTGTTGTAATCTCCAATATATTGTAAATAATCGAGTTTTGGGTATGCCATAAATCTTCAAGATGGTCTATAGCCATTTGTTTTTGCTCACTACTTAATAAAACCTGATATCGCGGGTCTAAATATATCGAAGCATATACACACTATTTTGTAAATATTGTTGCTCTCTTATTTTCGTATTTTCCAATACTTCATTTGAAAAAGAACTTGTTAATCTCCCTAACTTTAATCTACATCTTAACCATATTCCATAAAAATTCGATAAACATAATTGTTCTGCTTGCACTCTTAATGTTGTTATTTTTAAAGGAACCAACATACTAGTAAGCTCTTTTACTTGATTCCAATCATCATCTGACAAAATGATTTCACATGCTCCTATGATTAAATCATTACAGAAATCTTTCAAACTTAATAATCGCTCTAGCATCATACATATAGAGGACCAACGTGTTGTCCAATCCAAAATTGCCATTTGCCTTTTCATGGATTTTAATATTCTAACAATTGTGGGAGTTCTTAAATATTTTACAACATCCCTTGCTTTATCAATTATAGTTTTAAAATGACTATTTTTTAGGGAGATTTCACGAAAAAAATTAATAAAATTATAAAAATTTTACATTATTTTTTAAAATTAATAAAATTATAAAAATTTTATATCATTTTTTAAAAATTAATAAAATTATAAAAATTTTATATTATTTTTTTAAAAATTAATATAACACCCTGACCCCTTGGACCCTCCACTTGGGTCCGGGGGGTTCAGCCAAAATACGAGGGTTCGGGCCTGGGTTCACATCCCTGCTTACCCGTACCCTTGAGGGAGTCTCCATCCAACCTTTTTTATTTATTGCCGAGTTTTTTTCTTCCTATCATGATTGAAATCTCCTCCATATATCTATCTTTCACCATATACCATCGGCCTTTACCGATTTTAGGCATCCATAACTGTCACTCATTTCTCACTTTTCTAAACATCCCATTTGTGAAAATTTTTCTTAACCGATCCCGAATTTCCTGAAAGAGATAGAAAATGCCTTTTAAAACTCTGGACCCAACAAATATTTAAGTTCAGTGCGACCTAATTGAGCTTTTGCGTTTCGTTATGCAAAACGCAAGCAATGCATTTCAAATGGTAATCGCGTAAATTGATTAAGTTTACGTTTTTTTTGTTTAAAAATGCTCAATTAGGTCGGTCGCACTTTTTTTTTTGAAATAAAACGCTAAACGTAAACGCCTCATTTGAGCACCATAATTCATTTTACTTTTTTTTTATACAAGAAACGAATGTAACATAAAACTTCCTACGCCATTTTTTTTTGAACAGCTTTTTAATTTTTTTTATAAAAAAATTTATTAACTGATAATAAGCACATTTTGATTTCTCTAGGAAAATATTTTTTAAAAATATTTTATGAATCAAAATTTTTAATTATTGTGGTTAATAAATAGTAACCCGCATTTTTTTAATAAAAGAAAGTTTTAAATTCCATGCCTTTTATTTTGGTAAATTGTTTATTTTTGTTTTCCTGGAGGAAAAATAGAATGCTCGTAGTAAGTTTCATACATGATATGACCTCTCCCCTCCATGGAACCTTGTTTTTTATTGGCCACTAGAACATAAAAGGTATATAAAATTAAATTTATAGAATGCGATTGGTTCGGTGTCACGTGTGTTAGACGCTATTCTTAGAGCTATCTCGTTCCCTTTTTTTTCCTCACGGAAAATTGAAATTGTATTAAAAAGAAAATAATAATATAACCGCAAAATTTGATTTTTTATATTGACAAATTAAATTATAAATAACTTGTATATTTTATTATTTTTTTTTAACCTAAAAACTACATAATTATATTTTAATAAAGAAATTGAAAATTATTAGTAAAAGAAAAAGTTTGTAAAATAATTTATTATTGCAAACATTTCACAAAAACTACAAGGAGAATATAGGAATATATGTAATCATAAAAAGAAAATTGAATTTATATTTTTTATTATACAATTTTCTTAATAATAATAATTATTATAAAAATTAATATAGTAAATATATAATAGTAATAAATAATAACCTTGGACACTTAAAATAAATTACGTTTTCCAATCTAAATTATGCATTAAATTATTATTTTTTAATACCAGATATCTATAGAACAGATAACCCGGTTTCACACTTTTTTCCCATTTTCAAAGCCTCGACCCGGTTTTTGAATTACTCGGCCCGGATTTTCGAAATTATATATTTTTTTCCGATAACTATTACACCGCTCCTTTATCCTCCCTAAATCCGATATATAAAATGGTTTTATTTTGAGAGATCGAAGAAGAAGAAATTTAAATTTATTGCCTGATCTGGCTTAGTTTAGGTGATCCTTGTATCCGGTTTATTCAGATCGAGTCTAGTCACATGACCGATCTAGGCTTCGAGGAAGGTTCGTAATGGACTTTAGCTTTTTAAAATTAGCTTAGGTTAGAGATGAGTAAAATGAAATTTAAAAGAAAAAATAATACATAATTTCTTTTAAAAAAATGTATAATTTTTAGAAATCTTCAGTTCGTTATTTCAACTTTAGTTTATTTTTTTTAATACTAAAACAGCTGTTTACTCTTAGAAGAACTAATAGTAACCCTCCGGTGTTTAGAATATTTAACTTACAAGTTTCTCGACAATTTGGCTCTTAACTTTTTTTGGGTGATATATGATTTATTATTTGTTTAAAAATAAAATCTATGGAAAAAAAATGAATATGAATTGTAGTTAAGTTCAAAGGTTCTAGGCAAAGTTTTTCTAAAGAAAAAATTATAGAGCAAAGCTTTTTACACATGCCGGAATATATTTATTAGGCCCAGCCCGGATATTGATATATTGTATAATAAGAATTGAATGTAAAGTGAAAACGAAAGAAACGGCCAGACAAACAGATGACGCTTGACACTTCACTTAACCCGTATTGACGTTTTCTTTGATACATTTTAACATCACTTATTTTATATACAATTAAAATGCCTTAAATTATTTTATTTTTAAAATTCAGTGCGATTAAAAAAAAATTCCATATTTTTTTATTATCTTCCCTTTTTGTTCATGGTGTTGTTGGGAATAGAATTGAAGGTATTTTTTTATTATTAAATATTATCTAATTTATATTAATCCAATCCCTATATATTTTATATAATACAATAAATATACCATTATTGTTTATTTTTTTATAAAAAAATATAAAAATTTTTATTATAACAATTATGCTGGTTTATTTTTCTTCTCTTAATTGTGTTATCAATTTTTCTATAGTTTTTTAGTATTATATATAATTTTAATTTTTCAAATATTTTTTGTTAATAATTTTATATTTATATAAATAGGTTTAAATTCACACATATCTTATTTATTTTATTTAAAAAAAAAATATTTTATATTTAAATCATGGATTAGGATTAGATGGATGAGGAGCGAGAAATCGAAAAGAGAGAATAGAGAAAATTTTATTTAAAAATTAAATTAAATTTTGTTTTTTATCTTTCTTTCTTTGCTTCTTTTTTTATTTCATAAATATATTTAAGATAAACAAGCTTATTATACATAATATTGTTTAATAATTAAATATTAATTAATTTTTAATATATTTATATATTTTTTTAAAGTAAATAGATTCCATTATATATATATATAAATAAATTAAATATTATTCTAGTGCATAAGATCCAAAACTATATGCCTCAAAGTCAAGCGGAAATCCGAATCAGATGGTAAGCAGTTTAAATGTTATATATATTTTTTTCTTCTTTATTTCACTAAAGTTTTTTTTTTGGCAAGTGTTGATAACTGAAACTCAATCTGAGGGGGGGGGGCGTAGATTTTCTTTAAAACTCCGTATAACCCTATGCATTTTTGGCAGCTACTCTAATAGTAGTTGGGTGGGGATTAAAAATCACGCTAATACGGCTCTATGTGCAGGCGCGTGTCCAAAGAAAGTCCGTGACGGGATTGAGACGCGTGCTAATTTAGTTAGGCCTTCTTCAAAGTTTAGTTATATTTTCGGGAATAAAAACTCAAGGCTATTGTCATATTTTGAAAGGATAAATAATTAATTAGCCAACAATTTATATGACAAATGGAATGACGTTATTAATAGTTGTAATCAAATTTGGATAAGAGAATCTTATTAAAAAATTTAGAAGCCCTGTAGATCAAATTCGAATCGAACGGAGACCTAAATAAATTTTTGAATCTTTTGACGGGAACTGGACCGGATATGCAAAAGCAGGCATATCATATTGATAAATTTTATTTGGTCAAATAGATAAATAAATAATACTATAATTGCGATAAAACCACAAAGATATCGATTCGCTCAACGATATAACTGACGCTTACGCTATCGCTGTCGAAAAAAAGGCCAAAGAAAGGCTAGAAAAACTCGCGGCTAAGCACAATTTTTGCCCCTTAGATATGACAAAATTGTCGGAACCTCTTACATCCCCATACTCTGACGATAATTTTGAATTGCCTACGTCATCCACTCACGACGCTAAAGATACTGACTATCCTATTCAAGATTCGCGCGCGAAAAAAGATATTATAACGCGTTCTTCTGCTGTAACGACAACTGTTGTTTTGGCGGCCTCCGATATAGCTTTAGCCAGGCAACCCTCTTTACAACTCCTCCAGAAACTGAGGAAATCAAGCGCGATTGAAAGTAAATTTATTATTTTTTTGTTTAAATTAATGCATACTCGGTAAAATTAGCCATTTTTTTTTGTTAAATTTCGAATCTCAAGTTATACGAAACTTAAATCTTAAAAACGTTGAGCCTATCATTGACGCGCTGATAGGGAAAAAAATTCATATGCACTAACTCCTAACCTAATGAGTAAAAATTGTTCCAGACTCAATCTCAAACCGAGATCAGCTGGAACCTATCTATTTTCAATCACGGCTTAGTCACGCGAGACCTAATATTGTTTGTTTATATAACAATGTTTATAATATCTTATATTTTCCAGAAGGTTCCGCCCCCGTAACATCCCAAAGAAAATACTCCACGCCGTCTTCAATTTACACCATATCCGGTCTCACGGAAAACGAGCAAGATTATCTAGTTTGCTTTTTTTTTGAACAAAAAAATAAACAACTTTTATTTATTGTTGAGGGAGGGTAGCTTTTGAGCAATTATTTTTAAAATTCAATTATTTAAACTCCACAGTTTCGAGCCAGATTTAAGAAACCCTAAGAAAAATGAAACGGGGGGGGGGTGGATTTAGGAATTTTCTTGAAAACTGGGTTTTAGAAAATTGCAATATAACATTGGAACGCGCGGAATTACATTAACTCTAAGAACGGAAACCGGAAGTCATTTTTCAAAATTGGAAGAACCCTAAACAAATTTTTTTTAAAAAAAATATATATTTAGAACCTAAACCTGAACTTTTTTTCCTAATCTCGTCCAATGAGAAGTTTATTTCGGACATATTGTTTTTCATTAGGGATCGAACTATAGAAGAAGAAAAAATACCACAGTAAATAATAATAATGTCTAGATAAAAACTACCCACTCAAAATATTTAATTTTTCTATTTTTATTCGTGTTAATATTTAACTTAAATCTAAGAATATAATGTTGGAAAGATTTATATAATTTTAACTTCTTTTTTTCCCCAAGAGGCTAACTGAAGGAGGGGGGGGAACGGGGGCGTACTTCGATTTTGTAATTATCTTGAGCCCACCCCCTTCTCTATCCTAATGACGTCATTGGATTTCCTTGCCAATCGTTAAAAATAAAAATCTTAAATATACCGATTTTCAGATATACGATATTATTAAGTATGATGACAGTTATCGTTTTTGTTTGTTTTTTTAAAAAAAAAACTTTTGTCTTTTTGTTTTAATTTTGAGTAATAATGATAATAATGGAAAGTTTATTTTTGGCAAAACATCATTTTTTTTTTATTAAAAAAAAATTTTTTGAAATTTTTATTAATTATAATTTATAGCTGTTATTCTTTATTAAATTTTAAATATAAATATTTAATATAAGAAGAAGAAAATAGGAAAAGGACTTATATTTCAAATTATTTTTTATTTTAACAAAAAAATAATGTATTGTCTTTTTATTAATGTGGTATCATTTTTTGTTTTGTTTAAATGATATGTTCTTTGCCTCATGCCTCGTTTATAGCAAGCGCGTCACACAATCGTTGGGTATTTTATTTTTAATTTTTTATAAAGCAAACAAAGTAATAGGTTAAAATGTTATATAATCTATAGCTATTCTCGCGATTATTTTTAAATTTTTAACCTATTATTTTGCTTGCTTTTTGAAGAAAAAAAATTACGCAACAGATAAGTGTCCCGTTGCCAGAGAAATACGCGCTTATACTGTAAATCGAGGCACCTTAGATGATGTATGGCTCGATTCTTAGAAACTCTAGCCAAAAAAATTTTTTACGCAAGCCTGGATATTTTTGCTCATAGATGCAAGAACGGTTTGCACATGCACATCTATTAACTAAATTTTCGACGCTTGCGCAATATTATTTCTTGGCTAGAATATTTAGAGATAACAACACTTCGGGATGAATATTAGAATGTTCTATATTCCATTTAAAAAAAAAAATTAAGGATTTCTTTGAATTCTTTTTAAAATTATCACGATGTAATAATGCGAATTAAATGATTATTCTCAATTAACTTTTGTCAAAATTTGGGGACGGTTGCGTTATTAATATCTTACCCGCGTAAAACGATTCATTTTTCAATTAAGAAAAATAAGCAATAGGCTCTCAGGCAGATTCAAAAAAAACTTTTTAACTTTCGATGCAAAAGGGTAAAAGATTGTTCCTTCAAGATCCTTAGCTAACAGTTTTCTTTTTTAAGAGGCGATTAGTTTCCTTATAAATCTATCCGCTTGTTTTCACTCGCGTTTTTTTATATAAATTACCCTCTATTGTTTATCAGATCTTTTAACATAATATACTGACCGAACCATCGAAACTGTTTCGCGCATGCTCTTTTCTGTTTCCTTCCAAACTCAATTATTAAGTTGGGACTTAATCTTTTATTATCGATTATCCCTCCCCACTTCCCCTTCCTTAATTACCTCGCAGAATCGAGATTACATAATGCAAACACCGCCTCCCGATCCATTATTAACCAGGCTCAATGGGACGACCGTTCCGGAAAACCGCGAGCTAAACGCTAAAATAGAAAGTTACAAAGCTGATTTAGGAAGAGCCGAAAGGGATAGAAGGTCCAGCCAAAAGGAGAAAGAGTTTCTGCGGTCTTCCCTCCGGGGTTCCAAGAAGCTGCAGGCCCTCGAAGAACTACAACAAAATAATACGAGGCTACCGGTGAATGACAGGATCGACAAAGAGCCCATTGATAGTATATTTTTATTTTTCTATTCTGATCTTTAAAATTGATTAAATTTGTTGTTAACCAGTCACATCTACTTATCTATTGTTATCAACGAATAAATCATTCGAGTTCGATTAGTATTTTACAATTACGATTATAACACGGTTATTTGAATCGAATACGAATAGCCAACTTACTCGATTCGTATTTTCAAATTATTATAGATTACAAGACCGGGTTTAACGCCAACGGTTTCGATAACGAGGCATTTTCCCCAGAAGACACCAACTTAATAAAAAATATAGTTGGCGGACCCCTTCCACCGTCATTCTCCTCGTCTTATAAGCCTAGAATAGCGGAACATTACGAAGATTTAGGTTTTTAATTCCTCAAATTAAGATTTTATATGAATGAAGATTTTTTTCAAATGATGATTTTTTTTGAGAATGATGATTTTTTATGAGAATGCTCAAGGAAGATTTTCGAGTCAAATTTTATCCGATTTTAATTAAAAAATATTTCATTGATTAAGATCAGTAAAATAAAATTTAGAAAATTTTGAATAATGGGTCTTAAATAATAACATGGTATATTAGTAAGAAAGATAGTAGTAACTCACCTGCGTAAATTGAATATCATATTTTAAAACCATATCTTGTCTTCTAAATTAGATATCGACAAAATACTAGCCAAAATGAACGAAATGCTTAAAAATGGCCCCGATGACTCCAACGGACGCAACGAAGATTACAATAATATATCGACTGTCAAGGCTTTTCTACAGGACCGCAAGTTTATGGAATCTTTTAATATTTACAAAAACGTCGTAAAATCCCTTAAAACGTCCTTGGATAGAACTAACGGACATAGAGATTCTATTAGCCTCCTTAATTCTACTCATCAGGTTTTATTTGTATATATGTATATTTTTTTTTATCATCATTTTACTATTAGTATTGCCTCATAGATTTTATAATTATTTCGAATGGGGTTTTTCCCCATATCATTCCATGTATATTATCCTGTCTTCTGATTTGCAAATGGCGAAAATATATATTAAGTGCCTTTTTTTAAATTTAAATTTATAGGCACTTATATATATCTATTGCTTTATAAGGATACAACACAAATGCGGTTAATATAACCGAGTTCTCCCCCCCCCCACCCTACCTCTTTCAAGATCGATATTTTTTCTGCGTTTTATTTTCCCTTTATTTACATAGAAAAAATATATATTAATCTGTATAAACAAAGAAGTTACATAAATGATTTGTATGTTATATTTTTAGAAATACACCTTAATAAGCAATTTGTAAATTCTAAAATAATGGATATAGGGGAAGATTAGTAAAAATTTTATAATTAAAATATACACGAATAATTATTCTTAAAAAATATAAAATATCATGTCCATTTAACAGAAACCCCCGCTGCTTAGGGAAGCCTAAGATAAATTTTAACAAATACAGAGGCCTTAGTAGGCGCCCTCGAATTATTTGTAGGGACCCTATAAAAATCTATATGCCATCTAGTTTTTTTTATTACCGATTACTATGTAACTCAACCTCATCAAAAACAAATATATATTTTTTTATTTAAAAAAAAATAATTTTTCTAGATCTTAAACAATCCTCAATTACAAAAACATTCCACGCAAAGTCAACTCAAAGACCTCTCCTTCCTTTTACAAAAACCGCCTTTAAAGGGTCTCCTTTCGGCTTACGATGACATTCTAACTAATCGTAAGTCTTATTTAAACGACAGAACATTTTCTCGAGCCTTGTCTTCTGATAAACGCGGTTCGACCACTGACAACGAAGATAATCGAGGTATGATGCTAAGTAAGATTAAGAACGCATTCCTAAACTTTGGAAAATTTACTGAACTATTTTTTTTATGGGGATGGTAGATAACCTCGACCATATTAAAATATTATATAAACATATGTTTTTTTTCTTAAATAAAGTTGAAAACCTCAGTCTTGGGATGACCAAGAGAGAAGGGTACAACACGGGTTCGGAGGAGTACTTAAGTCATACGCTAGATCAATATCCCGAAACGGCCAATATTAAAATCGTCAGAATAGAAAAAGGACTCGATCCATTGGTATTATATTAGCCATATTTCCCCCCTAATATTTGTAAATGTTTAACAATTGAATTACTAAATAAAGGGTGCCACGATCCGCAACGAAGGCGACTCCGTGGTGGTAGCCAGGGTGGTGGCTAATGGCGCCGCTGCTCGTTCTGGGTCTCTTCTAGAAGGCGATGCCCTACTTGAATTGAATGGGACCCCCCTGCGGGGAAAATCGGTACACGAGGTTTGCGATATCATTATGCGCATGAGCAGTGCTGTTGGGTCACCTGGGGATAGGATTACTGGAACCGAGCCTCAACAAGAGCTCGTATTCGTGGTTGATCGCACCAGGTCTAAGGTAGAAGGAGATGGTGTTGGAACAGCAGGAGCCGAAAATACTAATGAAAATGTGGTAAGGCCAAATAATAATGATATATAATAGCATTATATTCATATTTTGTTATAACCCCATCTCCCAAATAGATCGGCTTTGGAGGTCTATAGTAATTGTCAAACAATTACTTCATAAATACTTTTACTCGATGCACATGTTTAAAATGTTAAAAAAAGACTGTCATAACCATTCCCCCCTTTCCTTGCTAAGATATATTTTTTAAAATTTGATCCTCCTCATGATTTGTAGTGATGGAGATGATTAGCAAAACAGTAGCAGGATAATTTTATTTTAATTCATGTCGAAGTATTATGATATAATCTTTATTCCCGCTCCCTTTATGTTAGAAATATTTTACCCATCCCGCCCTCATAACTATGGTTCAGACTTGAAACAAAGTGTCTGTATCATGAATATAAGTTAAATATAATTTTTAAATTATCTTTCATTTAATATTCTTATAGAAATTTATTTTAAAGTATATTTTTTACACCGCCCCCCCCCCCTCACTACCCCTCCCCCCCCCTAAACCTCCACATATCATATTAATGAGATAGATCAAAGAACCTAGAGAGATAATAACATTCAAAAAAATATTTTTATTCGCTTTCATTTTATGTCCTTGTCGGTTAATTCTTGTAAAAGAAATTTAAATCTCTCCAACTGGATAATTTTTAATAGTACTCAAAATCATTTTCTTGGTTTCCACTTAATACCCTTGGCTGATTTACCTCCACCCCTTCATGACATAAACCAGAAGACATAGAGTAATGATTAATTTTAAAACTCAAAAAATCATATAGGCATAGCATGAATATTTTCTAAGAAAATCAATTCTGAGAAATTTTTTACTTGGCAAAATCATTTCTCGGGAAATTCGGTAAAAACATTCTGAGTAATTAATGAAAAAAAATAGAGTATATGTTGAAGCAATAACCCACATGTATTGTAATTAAGCATTACATATTATCTTAAACTTCAGAATTAGTTCTCCCAAAGTTTGGTAAACCTTGTGCTTAAGGCTACGTCTTAATAATTAGATTCAGATTCCTGTGAAATCTTTTGAAAATGTAACTAGTATTTTGTATCCTAAGTAAACAGAAAAGATAAAAAAAAATTATCTACAAAGATCGTAAATTTATAAGATTCAGAAATATTTTGAAATTGGGAGTTTATTTCATTTCGATGCAATTTATTTTTAGTCGCCATTCGTAATTCGATAAAGACAGAATGAGTATATAGTTTTTATATAACATTTAATTCTGTTTTTGGTTAGTTAGTGACTGGCAAAACTGATTAATGAATTTATAAGTTTTCATCAGACAATAAATATTGACGCAACCCAGATATCTTCGCCAATAAGGATTGTTTAACTAACGAAACTCAATGATTAATATAATAAAAAAGCCTGAGTTTTTTTGTAGCGATTCTTAATGAGACTTTGAGGAAAGACATAGAACAGGATTTCACAAGATTTTTTTTATTCCAACTTATATTAATCATTATATAAATTTAAAGGAAATTAAAAACTTTTATCATTGAATCAATCTTACACCTATTTTTTTAAAAAAAATTCAATTAATATGATTGTAAAAATAAATACTTTTGAGATACTCTTTTATTTTCCAAAATTTGAACTTTTATTTTCTTTTTTAAAACCAATAAAAAAAAATCAATAATATTTTAATACATGAAAAAAATCTATAATATTTTAATAATCATAAATAAACAAACATATGCCTAGAACAGTTTCAAAATAAAAAGGTCATTATTAGCAATTATTGCGATATTGACCTCTATTTTATTTTCGCGATTCTTTCGCGATTATTTATTAGTAATAAAAGTCTCGCTATAATGTATTCTAAAGGTTTAGCTATAAATAATTCGCGATTTTGTCTTCGAGGAATAGCATTCGTTAATGTGCGTGATAAAAGTTTCGTTATAAAATCCATTCGCTATAAACCATGTTCGCAATGAAGATTTTGCGAAAAAGTGTTTTCACAGTAAAAGTTTATCAAAAAAGTGTTTCGCGATAAAAATCTCGCTGAATTGACGTGGAACCAAGGAAAAGATGGTACATCATCTAACAGATTTATAATATGCTTTTAAGAAATTGCATAGAAATCATACGGGTATTGCAAAACTAATATAATACAATACATTAAAAATTAAATTAAACGACTGATAATCTATATCAAAATAAATTGATTAATATTTTTTATTAACTCCCCTAAAAATGGAATATTATTGAGGTATTTTTATGCTAGATGTAAAAGTCTTTTTTAATCCTTTATACAATCATTATATTTTGGATATAGTTTTGCTATGGTTATTATAAATATTGAGAATATGACATTATTATATTGGAAATATTGTAATTAATCTATGTAATGTAATAAAATAATGCAATAAAAAGATTTGCTTATTAAGATTATTTTTCATTTTATTATATTTTTTTTATACAAATACATATATCCCAGTGAAATTATTTTTATCTTTATGTAATATTATTATCATTTATTTTCCCAACTCTGCTAAATTTCTTGATAAATTATTAGAAAAAATATCAATAGTAAAGTAGGCCAAAATTATTTAAAAAAATATTTGGTTTTTGTTTAGGCTATATTTATTAAATAGACATGCATTAAAATTTATATTCAAAATCTAACATTTTAAACCGTAATATGTTTCAATCAATTTTTTTAGGTAATAAATAGAGAAAGTTTATATTTAAGAAATCATTTTAATATAATTTAAAAAAATATATTATATAATATAACAAAAAAAATTTTTAAATTTTTTTAGAATAAAACGCCATCTTGCGGATTTAATATTATATAATTTTTTAAATTTTGATTATTTTTAAATTTATTTATATTAAATATTATTATATTAAAAAATTTAAACAATCTATTAATTGATTATTTAAATTATGATTTTTAATTTATATTTACATTATTATTGAATATATCTAGAAATTTAATTTTTATAACTATATCTTAAGAATATTTCTCAACTAGTGTTGTTAATTTGCTTCGTCGTAACATATTAAATATAAAAATTTTAAATTTATTTTATAAAATAAAAATGAAAATGAAAAAAAAAATCTATTTAGAATTAGAATACAATAATGTATATTCTTTATTTTTTAGTTAAAAATAGATTTACTTTTAATATTTTTTAAAAATCACTAAAAATAAAATGTTAAGCTATAAAAAATTATTTTCCCAGATGGAATTCAAAAAATAATAATAGATTTTATACTATAAATAACTTTATTTTACATCCGTTTTTTTTATTTATAAATATTTATCCTTATTAAAAAATAAAAACTATATTTTCATTCCCCCTTCCATCTGTTTTTTTCCAAAAAATTATTATGGAAATAAATCATTTGATAATAAGTTATTTTAGTATTATATTTTTGCTTATTTCACAAGTATAACTAAACAATATAAAAAAATTAAAAAAGGTAAAATAGTTTTTACCATTTTTAAAAAATTATACCGGTTGATTTAAATAACAGTGTTTTTATGAAAACACCGCTAAACGCTTCTACTCAATTTGTAAGCAATTTTACTCATTATTTTCAAATAAAATGAAATTAAAATACATGTGAAACCGGGGCAAAATGAGTTAAGTGTTTATTTATTTACTCTTACATATCTTACACTTTTTTTTGGATAAGGGGGCAGGCCTATCTTTCAGCATAAGAGTTCTATATAGGCATAAATATCATATGAGATAATTCAAAATTGAGTGAAAAATCGTGACAATACTATTTAAAAAAAAATATTATTCATTTAATATAATTATAAAAAAATGTTTCGAAATAAATTAGTCATTATTAGCAATTATCGCTATAATATCTTCGCTAGTTGTTTCGCGATATTGTATTCGCGGTAATGTATTCGCTTTAAAGGTTTCGCTATAAAAAATTCGCGATATTTGTTTCGCTATATTGTATTCGCGGAATAGTATTTGCTATTATGGATTCGCGATAAAAGTTTCGCCATAAAATCCATTCGCGATAAACGACATTCGCGATAAAAGCTTCGCGAAAAAGTGTTTTACGATAAAAGTTTCGCTGAAATGTATTTACTGGCTATAACATATTATTTAAGAATTATATTATAAATATGAAATACTTGCAAAAGACCAATCTTATATATTTCTTCAATTTTTAGGTATATAAAAATTAATTATACACTAATTTAATTAGTGTTATTAACATATACACATTTTGACCAATTTTGAGAGAAATCGGTCCAATAGATAAAAAGTTAAAGGGTGGTGGCCAGTCTTCAAACATGGTCATTTATGGCACATTTCCCCTAATGGTAGAACAAAATTTTGACATGATTTGTCTTCTCCTATGTATGCAGAGCCTAAATAATGATTTCACAAATTTACACAAAATTGATATATATAATATAGATTTACTTTTTATAAAATAATAATATTCTTTAAATAAAATTCTTTATTATTTTTTTTAAAAATAATGGGTTTTTGTGCTGGGTCTGTGCTCGGGGTTCGTGCTCAGAGCTGGTTTAGTCGATATTTTCGACCCAAACCCCGGGTCTGGGCTCTACACAACCAACCAATTAACAACACAACTTGAGCTCTGAAATAATTTTTGTTAAATATTGAATTTTTACGTTGTGCCCTTTGGAATAAATCCGAGAGGCTCCTAAATAATTTATCTTTCTAATTTCTTATATTTTAATTTTTCAAACAAGTGACTTTTTCCAAAGATTAGGGTTTGTTTGAGATAATTCTTGGATAAAAAATGCCATTTATTGTACGTAGACAATTATTTACAAATGATTTCTTATTTGCTTCCCAAATATCACCTCCATATAATAGAATAGAAACTATCGTCGAGTTGAATAACCTCGATCTGGTAAATACCGAAATCTCTTTGGTTTTCCAAACTTTCATGTACTTATAGAAGACACCCCTCACCTTTTGTATTCTGATCATCATTTCCTCTTTTCCACTGCCTTTGTTATCTAGTGTTATACCTAAGTACTTTATTTTGTTCACAACCTTAATTGTACAGAAATGCTATAAATACAAGATATCCTCCTTCTACACTTTCATATATTTTAGCAGAGCTTTCGACAATGTAAACCATGAAGCTCTATGGGAAACGCTGGCAGAATGCGGAATTGAACCCCAAATTCTCATTTTAAAAAACCACTACTCAAAATTAGTTGCGTGTTTTAAAATAAATAATAAAATATCCTTTTGTTTTAGAATTAAAAAAAGGAGTAAAACAAGGATGTACTCTACCACCACTCCTATTCAACATAATAATAAATAAAGTCATAATGGAAGCACTGGGTGCAGCTGATCTGGTAGATTTAGGATCTAACAATTCCATATCTTTAGTCAACAGAATAATATCATTTGCTGAATCTCCAAGATTATAGATGAAACCAAAAATTTGTTATACCTACTAGAGATTCTAAGTCTAAGAGTTGGACTTGAAATAAATTTCAAAAAAACTGTTATTCTCCCCTCCCCAAATGCGCCACCGATGGATAATCTTACATTTGGAGGAAATACAATTAAGGTTGTGAACAAAATAAAGTACTTAGGTATAACACTAGATAAAAAAGGCAGTGGAAAAGTGGAAATGATGATCAGAATACAAAAGGGAGGGGTGCCTTCTATAAGTACATGAAAGTTTGGAAAACCAAAGAGATTTCGGTATTTACCAGATTGATTCAACTCGACGATAGTTCTTATATGGAGGTGATATTTGGGAAGCAAATAAGATAGAAATGAGACGACTACAATCATTTATAAATAATTGTCAACGTAGAATAAATGGCATTTTTTATCCAAGAGTTATCTCAAACCCTAATCTTTGGAAAAGTCAAATCACACGCCGATTAACATCACTTTAAAAAAACGCCGGATCCAGTTCCTGGCCCACATAATAAGGAACTCCGATCATAATCTAGCTCATGATGCCATAGCATAGTTGTACCCACATAAAGGAAAACAATATACAAAATACAAATCCTTATGGTACTATAAAACCATAAAAGATATAATGGATTTAAATATTAATATGAAACAATTCATTAAACTAAATAACAGCGAACATCAAAAAGCTTTTTTCGCATCAAAAAAAAGTTACCTCAAATGGAAATGTACTTCGAAATTCTTTGCTCACATATCATTATCTAAATGTTTCCACTCTTTCTGGAAGTATTCTTTTTAAAATTTCCTTACTATAACTAGTACTAATATAGTAAAATTTTCAAATTAAAAATGATCCATCGCTCACCCTTAAAGTAATTAAATTATAACTGTAGTTCTCGGGTATAGGCTCTTTTTCTGCTCCCTACCTTTTTTTAATAAGCCTATAGAGGTTTAAGCAACATTTTTTCCAAATGTTGCGCCTACAAGTACGTGCGACTTGCCCACAAACGTGTGGAGGGCTCCTCATATTTTTACTTTTATACCCAAATTAAATTAGTTCCAATTAGATGGAAATGAGGAAAACCTAGCGTAGCTCTGTTGAACCTTCAACGAAGGGCAAAATCGCTATATATCACTTGACATACGAAAAAAAAAATATTAATTAATTTTTACAAAATTTTATTTTCAATATATATATATATATATAAACTGACTCATGGATGAGTGAGTCTCACAATACCAAAAACAGATCAATGCGCTAAGGTTAACAAATCACAAATCGGATTATTGCGCGTGATAAAAATACATATAATAAATTTACAAAAAAAAAAACAAAATATATATACCAATACAATAATTTTTTTTTAAAAAAACGCCAATTATGACATATTGAATATTATCGATAATTTTCATAATGTTAATTAAGGACTCCATGGTAATTACCAGAGTTGTTAAAAGATACTTTTTAAATGGATCTAGATACAGATACATCGTCTAAAATAATATCTAGATATCGATATTTTAATCAAAAATCTATCTAGATACAGATACAGATATCACATTTTTATATCTAGATACAGGATCTAGATACTTGTATCGAGATCCTTTAACAACTCTGGTAATTACTATATTTTAAGCCAATTTTTTAGCCGGTTTGATATTGGGGCTTTTTCTTAAAAGGATGGCAGTTCAAATTTGGAAGAAATTGTTATAAATTAAAACGTCTCAATGTTAAGGGGATTTTCTCCGGCAGGCGCCTCATGATTAATCCGACTTTTAGACGTTACCCAACTATGTGATCACGTGTTGGTAATTAAAGAGAATATTCAACAATGGTGTTTGTTAAATATTAAAATGATTTTTTTTTTGGAATGTTAAAATTTTATTAGAACTAATCAATATAAAATTTGTTAAGAACCAATCAAGTTTTAAAAAAAATTGAAATTATAGAATCTAACAAGTTAATCTTCTTTTAGAACAGAGTAATCTTATAGATAAAAAGCTAATCTTCTTTTCGATTGCGCCAATTTTTCAATAATTTGCCAGTATTGGTACATTAAGTATAGCTAATCCATTCAATCAATCTTAAGATGTCATACCTTTTGAATCAGGTTTTTATTCTCCTTAATGAAGTTTATTTGTGCTAATATTTGTTATTGTTGCAGTAATATTTAATATATTTTTGCTAATAAGATTAATCTTTCATACCAAGATTTAAATTCTGAAATTAATTGGCCTTCAGATACACTTTATCCCCTTTAGTGTTTGTCAAACGGCACTATTTGGGTCGATTTTTAAAATATTAGCTGAACCGGAAATTCTTAAATTTAGACCCGGATATTTTCAATATTTAGGTCAAGAATTTTTCGAAATTTTGTCATTTTAAATAATCTTGGCTTGTATTTTGTAAAAAAAATTTTTGAAAGCAGTTGAATGAATGCTAAACAAATTATTTATAAGTAAGTTAACTAATTGATTGACGTCTGCCCGAATTTTTATAAAATAAAAATATTTTTAATCTCCGTCCCTGATTTTTAAAACTTCGCTATTTTAGGGCGCCCGCTCTGGGTCGGGTCTCCAGGTCTCCGCTAAAATACTCGACACGCGTTACTTTTAACCGAATTTTTTTTTTAAACTTAAGATGTCGGTCAGAGCCAATTTTAATTACGATCCAGAAGAAGACCTATACATTCCTTGTCGAGAACTCGGGTTGTCTTTCCAAAAGGGCGACATATTGCACGTGATAAATCAAGACGACATCAATTGGTGGCAAGCTTACAGGGACGGGGAAGATATGCAAGGATTGGCGGGCCTCATACCTTCTAAAAGCTTCCAAATCCAGTAATTACAACATTCAGTCTTTCTTCTTTTTTTAAAAAGGTTCAAAAATTTCAACCAAAATAAGAATAAAATTCGATATTTTGTTTTGTTTAGGTTTTAAAAAAAAAATTCTAAAAGTTTTAAAACTTTCGTAAATTTTTAAAATTTTAAATGAAATCGAATGTTAAATTTAATTCCCATGAAAGAGGTTTATTTTTTTAAAAAAAAAAATATTTTGTTAAATTTTTTTCTTTTTTTTCCCAAAATGAATAAATATTTTAGATTTATTTTATTAAAGAAGAAAGAAAGAAAAAAAATTCTAAACGTATAATATTTTGAACTTAAATCTTTTCATTTCAAACATATTTTTTTCCCTGACTCGTTTACAACTTCTCCGCTAATTGGCGCTAACTGTGAAGAATTCAGAGTTGGTTATGATTAGTCTATACAGATAGATTGGCAGGTCATAATATCTAATGTTAGTTAGTGAGATAAAATGTCTTTTCTTGATAAACCAAATAAATCCCTTCCTAAATTGATTTTAATCCGACCTTAAAATGTTTTATTTTTTTTTTCATTTTAATCAAAATTAATTAAATGAAAAGGCGGGAAACATTGAGAATGGCGCTATTCGCTTCCGAAGATCCCAAATCTAAAAGGTCACGTCAAAACCGCAAAAAACATAAATCCGCGTCCAAAACTCCTCCTGATGCTCAGTTATACCTTAACAACTCGCTCGCCTCAATGGATAAGTGGCGAGAGTATCCAAATTCCTCAACTTCGAACAACGTCGCCGCCACCGCCCAACAACACCCAAAAAATACGAATACTTCGAATGGCTTGTGTGGGCCCGAAAGTTTGGCCAGCAGGTTATGCCAGAACGCTGTCGATTATTGCAGCAAGAAGAAGGGGAGCGCTAACGATAAATATAATTATCCCGATGGTATAAATAAACATAAAATTTTTTAAAAAAAAATATGTGAACAAATTATTCATAAAGTAAGAAAGAAAGATAGAAAAGAAAAGAAATAACATTTACTCCCTCTAAAAAAACAGAATACGAATGCGACGAAATACTAACTTACGAGGAAGTTGAACTATGTTACCCGATACCCGACAAGAAACGGCCCATAGTTTTAATCGGGCCTCCCGACATAGGTCGACACGAGCTGAGACAGAAACTTATGGAAAATTTCCCAGAAAGATTTGCGGCATCCGTTCCACGTAAAAGCATTTCTACCTAAAAATTGCCTAACATTTTTTATTTACTTCTATCCATATTATTATAATAAAAAAATTTTATGACCAGTTTATTTGAGATTTCTTTCTCTTATTTAAATTAGACACCAGTCGACCCCAGAAATTCGGGGAGATTGACGGACAGGATTACCATTTCCTGAATCGGCAATCTTTTGAAGCCGATATCATGGCGGGAAAATTCGTGGAACATGGAGAATTCGAGAAATCTCTTTATGGAACTAGTTTAGCTTCCATTCGCCAGGTTATCGCTTCCGGCAAGAATTGCGTCCTTAATCTGCATCCACAGGTAATGTGATTTTGATAAGGAAACTAATTTATTGTTTTCGATATTTATCATTATAAGCTTGGAACATCTTGCAATCTTATCCTTAATTAAAGTTTATCGAGAATTGAAAGATATTTCATACAGTATCGATTGTCTTTTGACTTAAAGAAATCCGAGAGATGATATTTTAAATCCTTCACAATTTATCTTTTGAAAAAGTGGTTAATTAAGGGAAAGGAAAATCTGATAATCTTTAGATAAATGAAAAATTTGGTTTTTGATCTTTCATTAAAATCCTATTTTTTATTTTCTTCGTATTTCTAGTCATTAAAAATATTGTACGAATCGGATGTCATGCCATACGTCGTGTTCATAGCTCCTCCAAATATCGAAAAATTAAAACTGATTCAGGAAAAGCGCGGGGTTTTTAAAAAGGTAAATTTTTTTATAAACAGTTGATTTATATATTTAAGAAGCGATTATTTTTGTACATTAGGTTTTGGTATTTTATTTTAAAGTTGAATTCTCTTAATTTTAGGATATCAGGTTATCTGTTCCTGATTGAACTCGAACTGATGGTTGGCCTGTCTATCCAATTTAAAAATTCTAACCTAACCCTACAATTTTTTTTAAAGGTTTAATGGAGTACTGGAACCCTATGTTAAAGCTAACATATCACAATTATAAAATCTCTTAGATTGTTTATTAATTTTTTTGGGCAGCAAATATCTTCAAACCTTGTCAATTAAAATACAAATTATTTTTTACAGGAAGAAGAGCTCGCCGAAATTATAGAGAAATCCCGTGAAATAGAAGAAAATTTTGGCCATTATTTCGACGTTTTCATAGTCAACACAGACCTGGACAAAACCTACAATCAGCTGTTGGAAGAAATTAACCGAATCGAATGCGAACCCCAATGGGTGCCAAAGTTTTGGCTCCATTTAAACACCTATTCCCCCTCCCGCATTTCCGACGAATATCATATGCAGCAAAACTATGATCCTTCCTCCCAAGCCCACATCAACGGGGCGTATCAAAACAGCAACGTTTTTGACAGCTACAACGTAAACGGTAACGGACCGGCTAGCGGAATATACGACGCGGACTATTACAATATGGAGTCTAACGTGGACGACGAGAACGAATTTCGCAGGCGTACACCCTCGAGCGATTATTACGCTATGAATCAACAAAATTTCATACCTTGAAACAATGATTTATCTTTTTCTTTTTTTTTCAAAATTCATTTTTTTTTGTTATCAAACCAAACCAACCCCAGTAAAAAAAACAAAGCAAAAAATTATAAGTGCTAAATTCAAGAAGCTATTCGCTCAATGATGGGAATTTAGGATTTGATATCTTAAACTTCAACGCGAAATTTTTACGATTTCTATTTAAATACGATGAATTAAGTTATAATCCTAATTTTAGTGCCTTCGATATTTTACTCTTTAAAAGGCCTTTTAAAATGATAAATAAAACACGCATTTTTCTAATCAATTTGTTGATTAGTCATTTTTTTTTGTCACTGATAGAAATTATATTTTTATAAAGACCTAATTTAAAACGACCTTTTTTTCATTGGCAATACATTTAATTGCAAAATTGTAAATTTAAATGACGAAAGGATCAAATGTACCCCGCCATTACGAAAATGAACGTATAAAATTATTATATTTATATCATATTTTATAATACTTCGCCACGAATTCGCGCTAACCGCGAATGCAGGGTTAAATTAATTTTTACCCTCTCGATAAATGCGTTTTTTCTATCGGTTTCCCCTTTGGGAACATTTTAAAAATTGTATTAAATTATTTCATTTTTTTTTTAAATTTTAGGTGTAAAATTATTTTCGAGACAATATTTTAATGTTGAGCGCAAAGCAGGGCCCGAGGAAAATGCTGCCTTTATTTTATTTTTTAATTCATTATATTATAAATAATATAATTTTTATATTTGAAGAAATATGAATTTTAAAATAATAATCGTGATTTTAAAAATTATTGTAAATATGTAATACGAAATAATTATTATAATATTTTTTTATATATATATATAATTTTTATACTCGAAAATAAATGACCGAAAATAAATGACCACTGAAATAGTAATAATAAAAGAAATCGAAACAATATTTTTTTAATTCTTATCAATATCAAAAATTGTATAATTTTCTTTATCGTCAAAACAAAGGCAATGATAATAATATTCTCAAGATTCCATATAAAATATAAATATTATATCTTATAACATTTATAATTACCGTATAATATTTCATAACACTAATATTTAAAAAAATCACATGATTCAAAAACAATGATCATCTTCTCGAAAAAATATATTGAAAAACGTCCATATCTGTCAATTACGAATCGACAGATACAACAGAAACATTCAAAAATTTTGCTATAATTTTTTTTGAAAGAGATTTAGGGTTTTTTTTAATCGTACATCATTATATAAGTTAAACTGTTTAACTGTATCTGGATGAATGTTCAAGTAACTATATAGATGAATCTATGTTAAAAGTTTTAATTTGCATTTTTTTTCTCCCCAGTGGGAGCATATGTCCGTTTGGCAATTGCTTATGGATATAACTATGGTTAACCATGCGATTATTGTAATCTTATAATTTTATTAATTTTTAAAGTTCATTCCTTCAATTTTTTTTTTATAACCACTTTACGCAATAATGCCCATTTTGAGTGAAAGGAAACAATTATCATTTTTTAAAATTAAAAACCAAGATTTACTTAGAGATCGAAAACAGGAAATCGTAAGGCAAGTTATTATAAACATTGATTTACTAAATTTCCATGTCACTTCTGAAAATTAATGCCAAGTTCAATGTTGGCCCCTTTTTGTGACGATAGAAATTCAACTGTTTCTTGAAAAATTACATTATTAGTCCCTTTACGACAACCGAATTTAGGGTCTAAAAGTTTAAGCGATAATTTTTATATAATTCTTTTCATATCTAATTTTATTTTCTGCATAAGAAGGAATATTTTAGGATTTAATTCAAAGTCTCATAAAAAAATTAGGTATTTAAATGTCAGAAGAAGTTGCATAAATTTTGACAAAATTTATATAATTGTTTAGGAACGATAATAATCTTGATTCCTTTAATTAATGCTGTTAATGTAATTTGCTTTTTATGTCATTATCTCATTTGGAAATCTTTGTTCAATTTAGATAAATTTATCCTTTCATACTTATATTAAATCCTAAACTTCATTAAACCTGACATAATTAAAATGAGTATTTAAGGCTATTACTCTCAGTAGACCCCTAGTCTCTTGATCATTCCTTTCTTTATTTACTTTTCTTGTAATTCATGTTTTCATTTTATCTTGTTTAATTTTATGTATTTCGATAAAATCGCCCTTTAGTTATTTAATATTTAAGGAATGATTTTTAACAAAATATGTTTTTAGGTATTTTAAGCTGTAAAATTAATAAAAAAAATAATTTTTATTCTAGTGAGTTATGAGTAGAATGAATGGGGTATTGGTAGGAATCTAATGTTAAATTGAAAAAATAGATAAATTCAAATAAAAGATGAGTGGTAAAAATAAAGAAGGAGGTGGAAATTAAGATGGGAAGAGATTTGGAATGAATGAAAGTGAAAGAGAAAAGACTTATAGTGGAGTTTTAGTGTTGTTAAACAGCTCGTTTTGAGCCGATTTTTAAAAACGGCTAACTCAATATTTCGTCCAGAAAAATATTACGCAAACCTCAAGATTTTGCTCATAGAAGGAACAAAGGTTTGGACATCTATTAACGAAATCTCGAGGCTTATGACAATGTTTTTCTTGCTAAAATATTGAGTTAGCCGTTTTTAAAAATCGGCTTAAAACGAGCCGTTTAATAACACTAGGAGTTATAGGGGGTAAAGTGAGAGGAAGGGGGTGGGGTCTAAAAATTCAATATAGATAAAAGAGGAGAGTATGAGATTAGAGTGGGTAAATACTAGGAAGCAGATCTGGACTAAATAGAGCTGACTAAAATAAAAAGTTATGAAAGTAGAAAGTTTTGAATTTCAAAATTGATTAAAATTTTATTTTTTGAATTTCAAAAGCCAATATAAAAGGTATTTTCTCGAATATTTTCAAAACCAAATAATCGCATATTATAAAGCAAATATTTTAAAATACAAAACCAAAAACTAAATTTGTAATTTTCTTCATTTTTGTTACCCTATTTCTGTATATTTACCTGCTAGTCTGCTATATATATAAAACAAAAATTAAATTTTTTTATAGATTGATAAAACGCCATCTTGCGGATTTAATATTGTAGAATTATCATTTAAAATTTTAATTATTTTTAAATTTATCTATATTTAATATTATTATTAAAATATTTCTAACAAAATTATTTATAAAATATCAAATGACTCTATATTAATATTTATTATATATTTAATCTCTCCGATTATATATATATTCCTTAATATATTGATTCTCAATTGTTTCTCTTTACAATTTAATAATACTTGCTATTTATTCTACTTTATTTCCATAAAATTCATAAAAATTTATATATTCATAATTTTATATTGTCATAATTATATTAATTCCAACAATCTTGTCATAATTATAATAATGAGTACAAAAACATTCGTTTCTTTGTTTTATAAAACCTTCCGAGCCGATTATCATATAATAATCAATATAAACAAAAATCAATATTATTACTAAATAAAAATATATTTATAATGATTGACATCTATCAATCATTTAAGAATAATAGTTTAAATATATATAAAATATACATCAATTATATTATATTTTTTTTAAATTTAAAATAATGATTATTTTTTAATTAAGTGTAATTGAATCAATCAGGCAAAATTTATTTAAAAAATTTAGAGAAATATTTAGGAAACAAACATTATTTCCTTTCGAAACAATTAGAAGGGCTAATAAAATGCTTATCAAATATGACTTTATCTTTAATCAATGATTTCAGAATTAAAAAAGAGATATTTATAAATTTAATTTCATTTATAATATGCACTTCATTAATATCTTGTAAAAATTAATCTGAACCAAAAATAAATGATTAGCATATATAAATTTTAAAATCATTTTAATAAGTTCACAAAAACTGCCCTACATTTAACAATTTTTAAGTTAGATGTTTAGAATTTTTTAAATTAACAATATAATAATTTTTACTTTGATTTGTTAACCATTTTCTTCTAATTAATAATCTTTAAGAATAATAAGATAAAAATTTAAAAATAAATGGCGTAAATTAATTCAATTGTTTAAAATTTTTTAACACTCCAATAGGAATCGAGAATAAATTTAAAAATGGCATAAATGAATTAAGTTGTTTAAAATTTATTAACACTTCATTTAATTGGTAATTGGAAATTTGAAAATATAATATTTGTATTTACATATATTAATATATGATTTTAAATAATACACTGAACCCGGTTGAACCCGGGTTCAAATAAAATTTTTGGGTTCGGTTCGGGGTTTTGAAAATTTTATAAATGGGGTTCAGGTTCGGTTTGGGTTCAGAGTTTTTTTCTAAAAACCCGGGTTCACTTCTCCGGGTTCGGGTTTGGTTCGAATCCCTGGCTAAAGTATTGGGCATATATAACAATAAAAATTATTTAGGATCTATTTTCTAAAAATCATATTTTTTGTTTATATAATTTTTGGTGCATTATTTACTTTTCATTTATTTCTAGAAAAATAAAAAAATTATATACTTTTTTCTTAAATTATTTTTTCCATTTTTATAAAAAAAATACATATTACAATTTTAAAAAAAGTAAGAATTTTACATAAAATTTTATGAAATTTTTAAATTGAAAAATAATAGATAAAAATAAATATAATAAAATAATTTTATATATTACATCTAAAAAGATGAAAAACCATTATAGTCAAAATTTTCAAATCGAAATTATTAATGATAAAATTGTTTTATTCCATAAAAGCGGTAAATTAGTTGTTAAAGATGAAGATATATATGAAATACTCCATCAAGCTCATATAGGGGAGACCGGGGTAAAACGATAGGCATTTTGCATATTTACCATAAAAATTTTAAACAAGAGTCAAACACAACAAATTATAGATCAATGTGTAGCCCCATCTCTCTTCTACAAGATAAAAAAAAGTGTAGCCCTCTACCTATAATATTTTAGGAGCTATGATTAGTTATGTAAAACTACTCATTTTCGCCATTTTACCCTGGGTACTAGGGTAAAATGGATAAGCACTAGGGTAAAGTGGTTAAAATAATATTTGACACATATTTATTGTTTTATTTAACAAATATTACAAATTTAAGATTTATTTATGATTTTTATTTAAAAACTAATCGATACAATAAGGACATGTAAAATAATTATCATAATTAGCACATTTAGAATGTGCCCATTCAAGGCACATTGTACATTTTAGCCATTCATCGCCCTCGCGACTATTTTTATAGTTTTTATTACAAATAACACATAAACAATTATTTTTTGATATCTTTTTTTTTCTCTGAATTAATAATTTTTTTTTATAAGGTGTAGATGTTAATATTTCTGAATTCTTTTTTTTAGATATTTTATCCGATGAAATATTGAATA